GATCTCTGTGAGTTCGAGGCCAGCCTGGGCTACCAAGTGAGTTCCAGGAAAGGTGCAAAGCTGCACAGAGAAACCCTGTCTTGAAAAACCAATATATATACATATATATAGGCTGGAGAGATGGCTCAGCGGTTAAGAACACTGGCTGTTCTTCCAGAGGTTCTGAGTTTAATTCCCAGCAACCACATGGTGGCTCACAACCATCTGTAATGAGATCTGGTGCCCTCTTCTGGCCTGCAGGTGTATATGCAGACAGAACACCGTATACATAATTAATAAATAAATCTTTTTAAAAAAATTATAAAAAAAAAAAAGATTTTAGGGCCGATCCCTAGGTACTAAATAGCCAGTTAGGGGCTCTTCCTGAGGGAAAAGTGTCTCCCACTCTCAGTATTCTTCAGTTGCCTATAGTCTTTCGATGAAGGTTGAAGCCTCTGAGCTTTCCCCCTTCCATGTTACCATGCCTGTTGGCACTGTCATTGTTCAGGTCTTTTTTTTCGGCAGACATGAGACTTAATGGGTGTAGCTTCTCTGACACTTCTGGGAGACACAATCTCACAGCAAATTTCCTGTCCCTCTGGCTCTCACAATCTTTCTGCCACACCCCCTTCCATAATGACCCCTGAGCCTTAGGTGCAGGAATTGTGTTGTAGATATATCAGTAGGAACTGAGCATCATACAAGCTCTCTTGTTCTCTGCGTTTTGATTGGTTGTGGTTTTTAGTAATGGACTCTGTCTGTTATAAAGAAAAGCTTCCTTGATGAAGGATGAGGACTTACACCCACCTTGTCTGTGGGTATAAGGACAAATGTTTAGAATGTAGTTAGGGATTGTGCTCAGTTAGTAGAGTGGCAGTTGTAGGTCCTCCTCTAAGATCCATGGCTTCTCTATCCCTAGGGAGTGGGCTATGTTTCTAGTACCAGACATGGTTTCCCTCTTGTTGAGCAGGCATTAAGTCCAATTGGAGAGCTGTTGGTTGCCACCAAGATAGATGTACTATGCTGATCATGGTGGTGCACAGACAATAGTAGGACTATGGGTTGCTTCCATTCCTTAGAAGCTTGCACGGGGCCTTCTGGTACCATGCTAGCTAGCTGTCAGGAAAGAGGCTCTCAGGTCAGATCTAGGTCAGGTCCTCTGGGTCCTCTTTCCAAAGTGCATGGCATAGGCACCAATGAGGACCTATCTTCCTCATCTAGGAGGCAACCAAGGGGAAGAGCAATAACCTATAATATTTGGGGAGTCTCTTGGACAACCCAGACAAACAACTCCAAAGATGGCTTCTCTTGACTGGTGTTGGTTTTTGTTAGATTGTCCTTGGCTCTTGTCAGCATTGTTAGCATAGGTGGGAAATTTTCACTTGAACTATATATGTCTGTGTATGCACACACAGACTTCTATACAGTGCATGTAATTTTAGGTAGCTAGATAATAATATGATGCTGTGTGACTTTTTCAGACATCCTCGTTGACATGTTATTTTACCCTCCTTCCTTCTGTATTTCTCTCTCTCTCCTCTTCCCTAATTAAAGCACCCCATTTTTCTCATTTCCTCCTTCAAATCACTTGTTCCCTGTTTTTCTCTGTTCTATTGCCCTCCCTGCCTCCATGGTCTCCTTTCATGTTCCTGGTTTCTGCAGCTCCTCCAGGTTATATAGTCACATCTGAAGAACTGGAGCCTGGAACCATAGATAAGGGAGAAAGGAGAACATGCAATGTTTATCTTTCCAGATCTGGGTTACCTCGCTCAATATGATCTTTTCTAGCTCTATCAATTTACCCAGGTAGATCCTAATAAAGGAGACTTAGCCCCTCTTTACCACTTTGAGTATGCTTGTGGCTTTTCATTTGATTACCAAATGAAGCATTAGATGACTAACATAATACAGGGATAATGACTCTATTGGTGGAAATTTCTATCCCACCCGCTAGTTCCCAAATAATCAAGGCTTAATATTAATTATAAATTCTGGGCCAATAACTCGGGCTTGTTACTATCTAACTCTTACACTTAAATTAACCCATATTTCTTATCTATGCTTTGCCATGTGGCTCATGGCTTGTTACCTCATGTTCTATATGTCCTGCTTCCTTAAAGGCTGGCTGGCATCTCCTCTGACTCCACCCTTCGTCTTCCCAGCATTCTCAGTTTGGCTGTCCCACCTATATTTTTTTGCCTGGCTATTGGCCAATCAGTGTTTTATTAAATCAGTTTGAGTGACAAATCTTTACAGTGTACAAAGGGAGTATTTCACAGCATGTCTCTTGACTCCTTGAGCTATATTTAAGACAATCTCATAAGCATAAGGGAATATTTGGAATTGAACTTTCAACCTATCAGTATATAGTGCAATGAAGAGAAACAAGGTTAAATATGGGCGTGTTAGAAGAGTACCTGAGATTGGCTCATAAAATATCAAACTATTAAAGATCTCTTAAAGCACTGAATGGAATACAACTAATTAATAAGTGAGACAATCCATTCTGTTTCTATCAGAAAGGAATTACCAATATGAACCTAAGTCATTGAGGAATTAGTGTTCCCATAAGAGCATGCCAGATGGTGTCTTTGGGTTATCAGCATAGCAAGTATCATAAATGAGAGAGCTTATGTTATAAGCCAAGAAGTTAAATGTTTGTTTAGTTATGTGTTTCAATGTAAAACAAACCATTTCAAAATCCAGTAGCTTACAACCTACAACTATTTTATTATTTTTTGACCACCTGTGTGATCTGTTAGTTGTTCTTGCCATCTCTATGGATACTTGACTGAGTTACTTGTCTTCTGTGGAGAACTGGTGGTTAAGGTTGCTTGTCAGCTGGGAGCTAAAATGGGGCCATAGATTAGATGTCCCCATTCTCCGTGTGAGCTGAACTCCTTAGAAAGGAACCTGTGTTCTAGGAAGAAGGAAGCAAAAGTTGCAGAGCCATTTAACATGATGTCAAAGGTCTCAGGTCATCGGCTTTCCTACATGTTCCATTAGCCAAAATGGTCACAAAGGCAGTCCAGGTACAAGGATAAGAGAAATGAACACCATCTTTCCATAGAGGGGAATATGTATAAAGGGAAGGAAAGGAATGTATGATGGTGATTAATGAAGACTTCGGAAAGGAATGTATGGTGGTGATCAGTGGAGACGATGGGAAGGAAAGTGTGATGGTGATCACTGGAGACTATCTATGCAGAGCTCATGCATACCCACAAGACATGGAGAGCCAATATAACTCTGTAGTGATAACTCTGCCATGCTCATTGCTGACAGTTCTGCTACCAGCCTACTGCCTTGCCTTCTTCCAGACTCATTTTCCTTGTAATCTGAACCTATAACTTATTAGCACTGTCAAAGCTTGAGATGCCTGCATCTCTTCTGGAATCTAAAGTCTTCTGCTATGGACTTGTTTCCCAAGCTTGGACCTCATCTCCTGCTCTCCTAGACCACAGAGTATCTTTTTGTGTAATGAGTTCTTTCTCCCACCTGTATTCAGCACACTGATGCCCAGTTTTTCTAAGGGCCTTCGTGGACTTTTAGCTCTAGCTTGCCCATGTAGAATTTGACCTATTTCTCCTAACACCCTGCTTCTAACATAGAATGGACAGATAGCCATGCAAGACCTTAAGAAATTAAGCAAGTACTGACTAAGCAAAGGACTTCGGTTAGGACTAAGCTTATGATATTTGTAGAACAGAAAGAAGAAAGATTTTGAAGAAAGGTAAGGGTGCGTGGGAAAATTCATGTGGGGGACTAGGTGACGATAGGCAGTCAAGGTTCAGATTTGATGTGATATGTAGTGGGAAGCCACTGTGCGTTCTTGAGATGAGGTGTGGCATGCCAAAATGATATTTAAACAAGATTAGTAAAGAGATGGAATGTAGGGCAGAGTGGAGACACTAAAATCAAAGAGGCCAGTGGTTACTGGGCTCAAGGGGTGATGAGTGGAAATAATGGATATATTTCTTTGAAGGGAAACAAAAAAAACGGGGTGGTGGTTTATTTATTCATTTACTTGTTTGCTTTTGAGACAGAGTCTCACTATGTAGCCTTGGCCTCATAGAACTCATTATGCACACCAGGATGGCCTTGAACTCACAAAGAACCACCAGCCTCTGCCTCCCGAGTGATGGGACTAAAGGCAGGTGCTACCATGCCAGGCAGCAGTGATTTCTTGGACATGGGAAATTCTAATGATAACCAGAAAGTAGACTAGTATAGTCGCCATTGGGAGGTTGTGGTAGAGTCTGGAGGAGGGGGTGGAATGACTGAGAGCAGTGTGCAGGAACAAATGAACAGGAAAAGACTCGGGGAAGAAGTTTGCTAAACAGTAACAGCTTTCTCATCTAGAATAGCAGATACTGGGACGAGTGATGACCCGGGATGGCTGAGGGCAGGAGACTGGGTTTTCTTGAATGTTTGAACTGAGGAGAAAAGGAGATAGAGGCCGGGCGGTGGTGGCGCATGCCTTTAATCCCAGCACTCGGGAGGCAGAGCCAGGCGGATCTCTGTGAGTTCGAGGCCAGCCTGGTCTACAGAGT